CGGGGCCATACCTACCCCCCCTTCCTATCTCAGAGGAGCACGGAGAAGATAGGAGTTTTTCCTTACTCCGGAAAGAAAAGTGGGGGGGCAGCGGGCAAGAACTGTATAAAAGTCTGGGACTCTATGGGTGCATTTGAAGTACTTTTCCACCAGGAACCACTTCCCCACCGACGACATCGCTGCACCGTGGGTGGTAACTATGCTCTCTCGCTTGCTGTCCTCTCTCTCTCTGCTTTCTCCCCTCTTTTCTGTCTCTGTTTTCCTGCCTGTCCTATCCGCTCTAGGGACCTTTGCTTTGTTACTCTAATAAAAGTTTGTTGTGCACGTGACATCTGCCATGTTTTTGACTTTTGGGTGTTACGATCTGGAGTTAAGATCCCTTCCAGTCGCTCACGTGGGCTGGCAGCTTTACTTTGTCCCTGCCGTTCAATCCCGACAGATCTAAGGGATTCAGGGAGCCCACGAATTAATGGGGTCATTCTTTCCGGATCCACTGACAATAACACTGGGGACTCCTGATGAGGAGTCAGCTGCCGGCTGTGCATCACTTGCAAACAGGCTGCTTTTTGTGCACTCTCTAATATCTGTTCCCTGGTTCCAACAACAGCCAAAGGGTCCCCCCTCTCTAGGGGATCTAACCCACCAGCCCAACACGCAGCACGTTGTGTGAGTGACCACGGGGCCCTCCGGTCACCAGTGGTTAAAAACACACCGGGTCCCCAGTATCCTTCGGCCTCTTTCTCAGTGAATAAAATTTGGTCACCCCGGACAAAGAGACTCGCCACACATACTCCCTTTCTGACTCTTTGGGGTTACGGCCGAGTTCTTCCTTTAGCTTTGCCAGCTCAGCGGCTGAATAGGGGACCTCCTTAGTCACCGAGGAAGGTTGTTCATCACCCGGGTCCTCATCATAGTATTCCCTTTTAATCAGGGGGCATAACTGTGGAGTTTTATCTGGTCGGGCTTTAGCTTCCCGCAGCAGTTATCAGGACTTGTGGCATTCAGAATTTACAGTGTTTGTCTCGAACAATCCAAGAGATAAGTGCAAGATATCTGCTGTGTGTCTTGTGACATCTGAGAAAGAACATCTGTTGATGGACTCTTAGGGAGCAGGATGCTCCCTTGCAATAAATTAAACCTGTGGTGTCAGTCGTCTCATCCTCCCCTTCGTTATGCAGAGATCTCAGCAATTATCCCAGAAAGGACTATCTGCAGGCCTTGACTCGGGGCCATACCTACCCCCCCTTCCTATCTCAGAGGAGCACGGAGAAGATAGGAGTTTTTCCTTACTCCGGAAAGAAAAGTGGGGGGGCAGCGGGCAAGAACTGTATAAAAGTCTGGGACTCTATGGGTGCATTTGAAGTACTTTTCCACCAGGAACCACTTCCCCACCGACGACATCGCTGCACCGTGGGTGGTAACTATGCTCTCTCGCTTGCTGTCCTCTCTCTCTCTGCTTTCTCCCCTCTTTTCTGTCTCTGTTTTCCTGCCTGTCCTATCCGCTCTAGGGACCTTTGCTTTGTTATTCTAATAAAAGTTTGTTGTGTATGTGACATCTGACCTCGTTTGCGTCTTAATTTCACCAGTTGGGATCACCTTTATGAAAAATTGCCACGTGTCCGAATACCGGATCGTGACAGGACTGTTGTCAGCAAGTCAAATGAATTATTATTTCCCTCTACTCCCATTCTCTCTCAGGGAGAAGTGTCTGGAGTACTTTTTCCGTTTGGGGTTCCTGAATTCAGCAAAAATATAGATACATTGGAACAAGCACAGCAGAAAATCATCAAGATGATTAGAGGGCTGAAACATAAGATGCAGACAGAAAGGCTGAGAGAGATGTCAGTCTTGAGAAGGCTAAAAGGCAAGGGAACTCTTCTGTCGCAAACTACATAACAGAAGGTTACAAATAAAAGGGAACCAGATTCTTTTTAGAGGTGCACAGAAGCAACAGGCAACAGAGAAAAGCTGCAACAGATTCCAAGAAGTTGTTATGAAAAATAATTTACTGCAATGGTGACAAACACAAGAATACGTTGTCCATCCATACATCTCTATCTTTAGGGATATCTCAAACTCAACTGGACACAAAGCTTAAGCAACATGAAAGAGACTGGTCCTTTTACAAAGGTGATTGGACCAGCTGACCTTCAGAGGTCCTTTCCAAACTAAATCCATGATTTAAGGACATCTCTGACATGTCTCCAGACATCCTCAACAAGATTTTTTTTCTCCAGATATAATCTGTGTGCCATATTACCACTCACTATTTTTCCTACACTCTGAAGCTAGACCCTCTTTTACTTTCTCATTCTTGCAGTAATGTTTCTTTCATATCTCCATAACATACTCAGTTATTTCAATTGCTTCAAAATTCAGAATCAACACCATTTGCAACTTCTATAAAAACATCTGCTAGAGCTTCAAATCTATTCTATACTGTTTTGCATTCCTTTTTCTAGCAGGAGTTCCTCAATAGATTACTTACACAGACATAAGACTTCCTCTTGTGGATCAATACTGAAACACTTTTGTCACGTCAGTTGGCAAAATTCACAAACTGAATATTTGAGTACTTCAATCTGATTTTACTTAATCAGAATAAAATTTCCTTAATGCATCATTGAACATTTTGGCCTCTGCTTCCACAACCAAGTTCCTCTTCTTGCACAATGACTTAAATTAATGACTTAAATTTAAATGACTTAAATCTGTGCATAAGCACACCCTTCAATAGAGTGGAAACCAGGTCATTCTTTCGTGCACCATCATTTGGCTACACAACAATTTTCAGCTTCTCATCCTTCTGGTTTTAGAGACCAAGAAATAGTCAAGGAGTCAAAGACTGTTCCCAAACTGGGTCTAGTGAATATCTTCCTGACTCTACTTTAGAAAGCACTGTGTTAAAGCTCTTCAAGACTGAGCAACAGATAAAACTGCATATCTCCAATTTCTTTGGCAAGTTTTATTATAATCAGTAACTTATGTATAAGCTACAAAGAAGCATTTGTCTTTCTATGGTCATGAGAACAAAAGAAGTTACTTGGCTGTCCTTTGTACAAGAATTCATGCTGAGATGCCTGTCTACTTACATGTTTAAGCATTCATGCTAATTTCTGTAAACCACCCACATGAACAAAGATTCATTTAGTTCCATGTTGCCCTTTAGACATCTACTTACTGTTCTAAATAAAATCTTTATAGTGTCTCCACTTCCTTTGAAAAATTAAAATGGCACACTTTTTATCTTTGTACAACATTCTTAATAATATTAAGTATTAAAAGTAATAAACTGCAATGCTCAACTCAGTAGAAATACTGCTGGAATACAAAAAGCCTGCTTTGACAAGAGCAGGATAAAGTTATTTGTTATGGTGAAAAAGAAAATACTGGATTCTACACAAAAAAGCATACAAAAAAAATACAGACAAAGTTGAGGACACCATGCACTACATCAAATAAAAATATCAAAGCGAAATTTGTAAAACAAACTGAAAGTATAATAAAGTCTTTTTAATTTGAAAAATAATTAAACATTGCATCCCTTTGGCTAACCCAAAATACTACATCTCTGATATATATATACCAATTAAGTAGGGGGGGTTAGGGGAAAAGAATCTTGTCAAGAAATAACAATGGAAATATAGACATTTTGTATATGGGTCACAATAATCCAAACTACTAGTGACACAACTTACTTTCACAATGGGAGAAAAGATTTAAAGCCAGGAATACTTTAAATTTGTTGCTCTTCCACAGTGCTTTAAAAGCTGAAGAAGCTAAGCAAAATTTTAAAGGAGAACTATGTCGCTACAGGTTTATCACTGTAACAGAGGCACCCACAGACACACAGGGGGTTTACTAGGAATGAATATTCCAATTAACACTATTTAGCACTCTGATAAATCAAAAGCAGTACCACAGATTTGGATATCAGTTAGGAACACACTACAGAACAACTACAGTACAACTAGTTAAAAATTCCTAAGTTTTATTTTTTTTTACTAGTCATAACACGGATAGTAATAATTCCACATGTGCACATTCACTCAGACAAAAACAAAGGCTCCCCCTCAGTTACCTGGAATCACTTGCTTAACAGGGGCAAGGCTCACTCAAAGATATATCTGATTAATTACCACTCAGCAAAGATGAGGTCACTCAATCTCAAGAAGCTTCCTTAGGTGGTATCTCAACCTAAGAGTAAGGCTTCCTCACAGACACACTGCTCCAAGGGAAAACCTAGCCAAGGACTTCTCAGTGGGGAACTCTGTTTCTACAGACTAAGTCAGATCTCACCTATGGTCATTCATTTGTTTTTCTACCTGGGTCAAGACACCCCATTGGCTGGGAACCCTGTCAGTTGACAGAAGGTCCCACCCCAGCAACCCCCAAATTGCCATGAAAGCCAGGTGCCACTCTGTTGTGAGTTCTGCAGCCCGCCAAGGGATAAGACCAGAAATTGGTTTAAGTGCCATCAATTCTAACCCAACAAAGGTGACACAATACCTGGCCCATCAGGGGTTAAGGTGTAGCTGGTCTGCCAGCTCCAGCAGCTGGGCAGGAGGCACAAGTGCTCTACCACAACCAGAAAGTAAAAAAATTAATTAAAGCACTCTTCTCCTTCATGGAACCAAAACATATCAATTATCATATGCATTCCGAGACTAAACACAGCATCTTCAGAACTCTTCCAAAATAATTTTATAAGTATTTTTTCAACCACGACTGAACAGAAGTCTTCATTATCTGAATGCATTTCTTGGTTTTTTTTAGTAAGGGTTTCCTTATAGATGATACAATATTTGTCATCTTTTAAGTAAAACAGCTCAGTATTACTGCTTTAATCAGTATAGAATTTTCCAACCTTTTTCATTACACATTCCACTGAAAAAACAGAACATTAATACTACATTGTGATTTTTTTCAGATAGTATTTAAAGCCCCAACATTTTCAAGCAATCTCTGAAAGCTGAAAATTATAGCAATTAGTTACTTACCCCTTTTTTGACAACAAAAAGTAAGTTCCAATTTGCAAAGCATGTCAGCATTCTCATACTTGTCTTCTTCTGCCTTAACCCAAAAACAGGATTCTGTCATTTCCTGTGGCCTGATCTAGAAACAAGAGAGAAAACAAAATTTTATTAATTAAATTACTCTGATACGATGCAGAGATTGTGCTCTGTAGAGTCGAAAGCAAATTAAATACTTGAGAGCTCTGTAAAATGTGAACTTTTAGTATAAAACTCATCTTCAGAATTGTTAATATATTTCTTATTGAAGATAATAGTGTTCACAGGAAGTGCTTTTAGACAAATTGATGCTAACAATGCAAAGCAATACAGACAACATAATGCTATTCAAGGTCTAAATGTAGCAAATTACCTTTGATCTAGATCTAAAAGTTAGGTAAACTTCAAATAGTCTCAACAGAGTTGGTCTAACTAGATACTAAGTATTTTACTTTATAGACTGTAGCTTTGGTTGCTTCACAAAACTCATAAAATCTTTTTACTGACTTAGTTTGGTCTAAATAGTTATGGTTTCCCAAACTCAGTAGATTGAGAGATGTGGTATACTTGATCCTGTCATAACAGCAAAGAAAAATATAAATATAAACGGACTCATGTTTTTTCAACTACTACATTTACATCAGTATATTTACACTAAGAACTAATGGAAAGACTTGCTATGCTTATTCCCACAGTCCAGGCTAGATAGATGGAAGACACTTGATTGGAAACTGTACAGCTAGCAGGACAGTGCAGTGACTGACCCAATGTAAATGCTTTGCTATAAGGCAGAGCATAGAAGGACCCAGGAAGCATGCTGGTATCAAGGTTGTATTAGTCTAGACCAGAACTTTCCCAGACATCTCAGAAAGTAAATAGATACATGTCCAGATGAATCCTGAGTCAGTGAAACAAGTTTTTTTTAAAGCAATTAAAACTAAAGGCAGAAAGTATTAATATCTTACATCATTTTCACTAATGTATCATGGCTTCTTGGTGGCTACCAAGAAGGTGGAGACTCCCTATTTACAAAGAGTCACAGGGAAAAGACAAGGGGTAATGGGCACAAGTTGCTCCTGGGGAGATTTTGATTGGATACAGCAGGCAAATTTTTCACCATGAGGACAGTCCAACATTGGACTAGTCTCCCAAGGGAAGTGGTAGATTCCCCACATAGGACAGTTTTAAGTCTCAGCTTGACAGGGTGCTGAGCCATCTCATATAAACTATTGTATTACCTAAAAAGGGTGGACCAGAGGATCGTTGAGGTTACTTCCAACCTGGCATTTTGTGATTCTAAGATTCATTTGCTCCATATAGACTTAATCCTGACTCTAAGCTCTGTGTAAGATTTTACATTAAGTATTTGCCGCTAATCAAGATTACCTTGGACCAGTTGAGCCTTTTCATGGTGATCTCAGGTCTGAATTCTTTTTTAGGCTTCATTCCAAATGGCAAAGTACATGAAGGTGGAGACCACTGTACTCCAGGCAAGCCTGGTAGAGGTGGTGGTGGAGGAGCACCACCAAAAGCCAGAGGCATTCCCATGCCATTCAGAAGTGGTGGAGGAGGAGGAGGAGGCGGTGGCGGTGGAATTGCTCCATTAGAAGGCAGCGGTGGAGGAGGAGGAGGAGGCAACTGATTTGGTCCTGTAGTTTCCAGTGGAACGGCAGATGGATTTCCACGTGTTGATGATAGAAAACCAGGTGGCAGGGAGCCATACTGATAAGGAAAATATTCTTACTCAGTTTCACATTTTTTATCAACAAAACACTGTAACAAATGTAGTTTGTAGATTAAATATAGCAAGCCAATTAAAAGTCAGTGCCATTTTTCTTATACAGGACAATCAAATATGAATTATAATGAGGAAAACATGCTTTTCTTTTCCAAAATTGGAAGTCTCAACATTTGAAGCAGACATACAGACCTGAGACTGCACACCAAAAACTGGAATGCTATATCCCATTTGCCATATTTCCCTGATCATGACCTAAGAAGGTTTTGACATGTATCTCAATGGAATTTTATTTAGATGACCACAGCTTAGCTCAAATTAAAAAAAATAACCACCTAGTCTCTAGTGTTCTTACTTATCCTACAGATTACAGACAAATATTTCAAGTACATAATGTAGAATCTGAAAAAGAATAGTAATTCTGTTGAAAAACACGTATTTTCCAACATAGGAGCACTTTCCTTCAATAGAATTGAAAGCACAAAGTAATTAAGAAAAAAAAAATCTTTCAAAATAAAAACAAAACAGCTGTCTTGCACACTGACTTCTTATTCTGTATAGGAAGGACATCTATACTGTATCAAGATAGGCTTATCAGCACTTCAGAAAGTCTAAAACATTTTCCTACTGGTGATAGTATTAACTAACTTCTCAAATTATAATTATGAACCGAAACAGTCCATTTTATTATTTTTTTTAATTGAGAGAAATACAAGAAGTAAAAGATTTAATATTTTTAAAGGAATTATCTGAGTATCAATACATAAAAATAAATACATGCACAACAATATTATGTTCTGAATTTCTCAACAGACAAACTGTTTACACTTACAAGTAGACACTGAACAATTAGGCACTAAACAAAAAAGAAATACAGGTACAAATGCCAAATACAAAAAAACAGTAATACCAAATACAGAAAAACAGTAAAGGAACAAGACGAGGGGGAAAATAGTCAGACAAGGTGAAGTAGCCATGCCAACTAGCAATTGATGTCATATTGAAACCAAAGGCTCCTCTGAAGACAGATTTAAGAATACTAAGTTGCAGTAATCAATTGCTTGATATTTACAAAGCATTCCAAGTATCCCATTAACAGTGGGATAATTCATAGTATAATAACTAGTGAGCATAATCATATGCTCACTGTCCGCATGCCAAAAAAAATTGTATTCAATAAAGTGAATGGGAGAAGAATTTAAAGAGGAGATAAAACCCATTTCACTCACAAAAAGTATTGAAGTAGGTTTTCAAGATACACACATAAAAATACTTCCTTTAGGAATTATAGTAATTATTATTATTTATATTATTCATAATTATACACACACTACAAAAAATTTTAGAATGCAACATTTTTTGCAATTGTTGTTTTAAAGCCTGTTTGATTTTGATATTAACAGTTAATTGTGATCAGAAACTCGAATTGGAATTATAGTTTTAAACAGACCTAAGCAGAGTTAAACAAATTTGCCCCACTAAGAATATTAAACAAGCTCAAAAATTTAAAAAAAACTCTATGATAAAAATGTATTTTATGACCTTCCTATATGCATGTCTTCCCAATGCAGTCTTTCTTTAGTAATTTTTATACTGTGCTTCTTATTCCAGGAAATAAGACACGGGAAAAATCACATGGTCACATTGTCTCCTTATACTGTTTTCAGAGCTGAAGCAGTTACAAGTTAACTTGAGCATTCGTCTCCAAAATCTGCACTACTTCTCTCCATTACATTTTAAAATATCTATTTACACTTGAAAATTGGAAAATTATCAGAAAATGTTCTTCTCCAGCCACAGGTTATTTCTTTCACTGCTGGATATCCATGGTAAGGCTTCAGCAAAGCAAACTGCATAATGAATAATTTCTTGTGGAGGGGATAAGGATCACAGTGATGAATGCTAATCTAAAAGCATAAGACTTATTACCCTATGTGGTTAATTACTTTGGAAATATATGACACTGAAAGCAAAACCCAAATGAAACATAAGAAACTAGTTTAATTAACAAAGCTCAGGCACAAAAAGGATCATCTGGGAACTCAAATAGCTAATTAACGTCACACTACAATTCTCTGTATAAAACAAAAATAAAGGAAACTAACAGTCAATAATAATCAATAACAAGGATTCTTTAAAAAAAACCATAACTGTACTATTACAATCTGCAAAAGATGCAAAATTTTCTTTCAAAACCAGTATTTCATATGTTCATTTAAACTATTTTATACCTGTGATTTAAAAGCTTGTAATTCTGCTTCAAGTTCACTGATTCTCTCCTCTTTTTTTTGCAGTAGGGCCTGGGTCTCCTGATGAGCTACAAAATCCTTTTCAAACTAAGAAAAAAGAAAAATTAAAAAAATGTTGATACTAGTCAGTGCTGCATACACTTCTTTCTAACTTTACCTTTCGTGTTTGTTAAAACTCATGTGTTAACAGTACTAACATATCTACTATTCTACCTTCCATACATCCACTGAGCAGAAGTCCCATCTCTCTTAATTACTACAAGTCTTCACTATATAAAATGGCATAAAGTACTTTATATATTTTAAGTTGGAATTTATACATGAAACCTTAACATAAACCACAGAAAGACTCACAACTAAGGTTAACTTTATCCCACTTTTCTCTGCTTCCTAGTCCATAAGAAACATTCAAATTCCCACTAAACCTTAAATAGTAATTTGAAGTTAAAAACTATGCCACCCATTCATGAAGCTATCAAGTAATCTCCTGTGTCCATCTTATGATCACATAACTTGAAAATTACTTACTTTTTTGGAAAGTTCAGCAGCTCTCTCTTCACATTCTTCTAATCTTGCTTTATCTACACAAATATCTTGAAAAAATAAACAAACACACTTGCACATATACAGGGAACACAAGATTCTTAATTACTTAGGTTTTGGAACACAAACAAAAGAAGGATACTGTAATCTTTTCCAAACATAGTACTTACCTACTAAGTGGCTGATATCTATATCTAATCTTTTACGGTATGTGAAATCTGGGTCTGTTCCACTTCGATGTAACACTATCTGGGACACACACTCTTCAATTAATTTGAAATACTGTGGACTAAAGACAAAGATGAGTTATTTTATAGTATATTTATTAATGTATACTTAAAATATTATCTTTGAATGCAGTAAGGTCAAAAGAACAGTACAGGCCAACCTCAAAAGCCTCAAAGGACAAATACAACTGGCAGTTTATTACACAAGAACAGTAACATAAAGCCTGAAAAAACAGTGGCCCTAAAGAGAAATATTTTTTATATTATAAACTCTGCATCTCCCCCTCTATGGAAATACAAGAAAGAAGGACTCCCTCCTGCCTTCTACCAGTAAAGAGAAGGCTCCTCCTCCAGCTTGTTCCCTTCTGATTTTGTGACTTTTGAAACTACGGTTGCATTGTAGCCCTGTTTTAGTAAGCAGAATTAAAAGCACCTTGGATGGGATGGGTATGACACCTGGGTCACTTGCAGAGTATGTAAGCTGTGAATTCAAACCCTTTCAGATGGAAGAGGTTTACCACAGGTGTACCCATGTCAGGCACAGACACTTAACCTTTAAATGTACACCTCTGCTAGACCATGCCTGAAATGCAAGGTTATGCAGAACACCATGTAGAAAACGGGGCTTTCCTTCCCTGCTTGGTTCATATTGGGTTCCTCCAGTTTTTCCTCAAAAACAACACAAGCAGATTATAGAAAGGAAAATATTTGGCAGCTTCAAACATTTAAAATTTTATTAACTATTTCTCCTTGCAATTTATCTGACAAATTTCCCAGACACTAGTAACATGTTTACACTGACCTATAATGTATATAGAGAATACTCAATTACCAACCAAAAGATACTCTTAATTAAGCATATGTTCAGATTTCTGTATAAAGTGCACTTCCATGGATACCTGATTTTGACCTTTGACTTACATACAGCACAAAATTCCAATGCTACTATCATGATTTATAAGAGACCTGTCCTGATTACTTTTACTTGATGTCAATTGGGTTCAGACTTCAACAGGAACAGTTGCCTGTATTTATATATAAAATCGTATCCTAAGCAGAAGAGACAAAAACAGATGGCATTCTTATTCAAAGCTGATACTTTTGAGCATGAGCTCACAAAGGAATACTTGCAAATTGCAACCTGCACAGAAAAAGACTAAACTCTATTTATCATTAAGTCTACAGAAGACATAATTTTATTAATGACTAAATGACAACAAAATCCATACCTGACATGTAACATAGCATTAAACATACCGTATAAAATAATCATTTCTTATCAGCAAAAGATGTTGGAGAATAGAAAGAAAATATCCTTCAGCGCTAGTATCCTTAACTGTATTCCACACCATGTTGTAAACATCATTTACTTCAGTAAAAAGTGTTAAGGAGAGTAATAACAAGGAAGGAAAAAAAAAAAAAATCAGTCAAATGTTGACTGTTAATTTTTTAAGAGAAATTATACCAGAACAATGTCTGCTATACACTTTATTTTGTTCATTTCTCTTGCCAATATCAAAAGGATATTCTAGTTCAGATCTAATATCTTCTAAACGATGAGAGAATTCGATCATGTCTTCTTCCTTATGCTCATTGAACACTTTCAGCTGAATATCTAGTGCTTCATTCTTTATACATTTCAATTGCTGCAAAGAAGAAACAGTATAAATGCTTGCAAAATTAGCATTTCCAAATAAACCTTACCTTTTTAATAACTTCCGTAAGTCTGTATTATTTAAAAGTTGAAAATTACAAGAACATACAAGTGAAGTTAAAATATTGAAAAGGTAAACACAGCTTCACAAAGGTCTGCACAATAGTCTGTCATGCTCTAAATCAAAGTCCTGAAATGCTGAGGAATCAGCATAAAGTTCAGAGCATACTCCACCTTTTCATTCTTATTTTAAGACTGATTCTCATAACTAACTGCTCATGCTCAGACTTAATAAAATGCCTTTGAGAAAAATTTATTAGAATTTGTTCTCCCATTCCTACTCTCAAGCTCAGAGTCCAATAATTTAAATAGTAATGCAAAGAGAGAATACAAGATGCTTACTGGCAATATCTCTTTCAATCCACTGCGCATAAATTCATTTCTGATGTGAAGCCTAAAATCCAAGTCATCAGGAGATGTAACAAGAGCATTGATGAGCTGCATGCAAGCTACCTACAACAGAGGAAATAAGCTGGTTTATTCCTTAAGATTTCAATGTGCATCACAGCCAAAAACATATAACAAATTACTAATTATATATTACATCATGTCTAATTATCAATATACAGTAATTTTATAATTAAGATACTTATATTTCCTATTGGCCACATTAGGTATAAATACCAAACAGTATTTATATATAGAAAAGCTGCCATGACAATATCTATTCTACTGTTACTCCATCATACAACATACCTTGCATCAACAATAAATTTAAAACAGTAATAGGAGAAGGGAACTAGCATTGCTCCTTACTCTTACTTGAATGAAGAGCTGAAATTTAGTTCTATTGCCTCAGAACTTCTGTAAAACTCAGTACATATACTTGCTTAGATTTGCATAATAATAAAACTATTGTTTTTTCTTTATTGACATCAGCAGGACAAGCACACTAACTTCAATTATTGACATCACCTGCATAAAAAGACTTCTGTAACTTACTCCAGTGTCAGAAAATAATCAAGTTACAACAGCTAAACAACATAAAACAACACCAGATGGGGGGAATAAAATCTTTAGGGAATAAAACATGAAGCTGCATTAAAGCAGATTTAAAAATAAATAAATAAATAAAAAATAAAAAGAGAGCAACAAACCAAACCAAACAACACCAAAAAAACACCAACAAACAAACAAACATTAAAACACCCAAAACAAAATACTTGTAAAATGCATGGGTATATATATAGATAATATAACAACAGAAGACAACCAGCAAATCTGTAGGTTCAGTAAAAAATCATGACAAAAAGGAGTACCCAAAGAAAACAAAGGTCACAGCAACACTTCATCAAATGTTCTACTGGTGTGCAAAAGGTGTTCCCAAAGTAGAACAGAGACATAAACAGGTTCAGGGGTTGGCAGAAAAACTTTAAAACTTGCAAAACTAAACCAACAATAAGAAGTCACAAAAGTACTCAGTCTTCAAGCACTCAAAGTTTTGAAAAAAAATAAGGACAAAATAACTTTAGTATCATTGCATTCAAGTTCTTACTGAAAAGTATGTTAACACTGAAGAAAATGAAGATGGCAGAAATAATACTGATATTTACAAGGGGCATTCATGGGAAGATCTGGACAACTACAGACTGGTAAGCTTGAATTTCTATGGTACAAGTAGGCTGAAAGTATAGTAGAGAAAAAAATCAACATGAATAAATGGACACTATGAATAAATGCAACAATTTTTGAAAGGCTCAAGGAGCTGGCAAGACTGCTTTAACTGGCCTAAGTCTGGACTTCAAAAAATAAAAAAAGTTTGTAAAATGTCAAAACCACTTAGAAAAATTTAGAAAACACTCTTAAGTAGCCAAAATACAAAATAATACAAAACAGTGTTACATCTGATATTTAAAACTTTCTTTTTTAGGAGTCAAAAATTATTTGGCTGAATTAAGTTTCTGTGCTATTTTTTCTAGCTGTAAGTTTGTCTATTTTTTTCCTTATTTTTTCCCAAGATACCTAAGTGTGTAACGTAAAAATCTAACAAAAATATTAATAACATAAAAAATAAACCACTTATATGGCTAGAAACTGCAAGGCAATAAAAACATATTCCTGTCCTTTCTTTGTATTTTTTTAGTGAGATCAATTAGATCATCACCTAATGAGTAACAATAAAAATCTACACATATTAAATAGGAATATAGTTACAGTGTGTTTTCTTTCAGAAAGGTATTTGACTGCTAGTAATGCAATGCAATTTTAAAGAACTCAGTTAAATAGGAATATAGGCAACAGGACCACTACCTTGACCATTCTGTCATAAATATGTTCCTTTGACAAGACCTTTCAGATCTGAGGCTTCTTTAAAGTTATAAATAAGAAACAATCCTCAATTATTCTTCTCTGAACCATCCACTTAGAAAGCAGCTAAACTGATAACAATTTGGGATTTTAACTGTCATGGTGGATTATACATCTTCGTAGTACCTGCCAGAGCAACCCTTATGATAATTCTCACTGAAATCTGTTATTTCCCTATTTTATGCAATTTGACTCTGTACATATGTCTACAGTATTTTAGAAACCTCAAAGAAAGTATGACTTATTTATTGTCTTCAAATAAATCTAAACAAAACCTTTTTATTACTCCAGAAGCCCAATTCTGTGCATGTACTCTGGGAGTTACTATTTGTTACTGCTGAAGCACCACTCTTAACACTAGGTAACAAGCACTGATAACCCCAAAAAAGAAAACTACAAATACCAAAAGATAAATAAAAAGAAAATCCTCAGACTTACACACATCCAAAACACATACAACAACAACAAAAATGTTTAAAACCACCTAGGGTTTCCAGTTTAGTTCTTAAGTCAACTGAATAAAACCTTCCAGTAATTGTCTTAACAGCAGCCAACAGAGGAGAAATTAGGACTCCCCTGTTGCTCAACCAAGTATTTTTGGGCACAGAAAAAGCTACTTGTGTTCAATATTTATCTGTCATGGCCTTGACAATCTTGTTAAGAACATGAGGCCTTGTAGACCGGTTACTTTTGCTAGAATTTCTGTAAATAGCAGGAAGTAATACGACCTTAAATAAAATGCAGCATAGAAAAGTAGAGGCATGGGATGCGAGCAGAGACATGTGCTAGCACTACTCAGAGTAATTAGATTAAACCATTAAGATTGCATTTAGACTAACAACAACTTACTGGTTTTGAGTAAGTTGTATTCTTTAGGCCCACAAACTGCACAAATTACAATGTCACTAAGTGGTGGAGAATATGATCACCCTTGTCTATAAGTTGGATGCAACAAATGGTAGAAAGTGCAGGCAAAAAGAAACCAGTTAAACTTCAGTGCATCAATACCTTATAGAACATTTATTATCTAACATATCTTATTATCTAAGAACGGCAGTATTCTTTATTCTCAAAGCTTTCTGTATTTGTTTTGGTATGGGCCCACTTTACCAAACTACCCACATCATCAGTATTTGTGTTTTTCTTCAGTAACCACGATGAAAACTTTTACTTCCCCTAATTTTGAGCTTATTTAGTCAAAACCTGTTTCGACCAATTTGTCTCTCTAGAGTACTGAATCCTTTGTTCAATTCCATTTTCTTGATTCAATTAGCTCTGCTATTCAAAACCAGTAATTCAGCACACTGACAGATGCCACCATCACCTGTACTCCTGTTACATCAGTGAGGCATTTCAATGATTGTAGACTTCATTGGACAACACTATCTTACAATAAGTAATAAAGTACAGTCCTGCAAGGCTACATTTACATTTCAAATAAAGTCAAATTCCATGTTGTTTGTTTATATCAGAACTGGTATTTATCACACTTCATTTAAACTATCTATGAAGAGACAATTAGGGACTGAACAAAGTATATTACAGTGAAAATCCTGATTAAGAACAAACTACAGTTTTATCTTTCAGGTAGCAATGCAATTTAGACAAAAGTATGTCTACAGGTGTAACTGCTGCAAAAAAAAAATAATTGTATTTTCTTTTTATTTGCCAAATCAACAACATGTATACATGTGCTACTGAAATTGAAGATATGACAATAAGTGCAAAAAAATGCATCAGTTCAAAAGTACTGTTATTCTTGGACGTTAGTCAAATTTAATCAAATGGGAATTGGCCCTCTAGGATCCATTGTATTTACTGACTAGGGACCCAATTCATCAGCTTAAACACTAACACATAGTATACAGAATACCATTACACCTGCCACTGTGTGTCGCATCTGGCTTACAAATGCCTACGTAGAAGGGTTGGAATCTCCTAAAGGAACCACTTCACATCTACGAAACCATCTGAAATTACATTTGAAGTTAATGTCTTGTCCACTAAACTGAGCCTCGGAGTTCCATTGGTTACATCTGAGTTTAGACATCTAGCACAAATGGTCAATGGGTTTGCCTACTTGCAGACTAAACCCTCTTCTGTGTCTTGAAATACTAAAGAGAAAGATCTGCCATTTAGGAAGCTCACTTGTTCCCAATCTAAAAAGTTTTAAATAGGTCTGATATCTTCCCTCCATCTGTGTCTATTTGTTTAGGAAAGAAGTCTCAGCCATAAAAATGCCTCAGGAAAAAAACCACAACAAAACACACAACTTTTGTTTAGAAATAACCGATGATGTCTTTTTCATAGTGCTAAATCTATGTTACAACATGCTTTAAAAACTTTGGACATTCAAATACAGATTGGTATCTAGAATTCTTAAATTATCAAATCTAACAATAGTCACACAGTGAGTTTGTTTCCAGCTTCTAGAATGAAGCTACTTGTCTAAGAAATGCAATAAAATAACAGATCTGGTAATTTCTTCCACAAAGACAGACCATAAAAACCAGACTGTAAAGAGCTGAAAGAATTCTTAAGGGAGAAAAGAAGCTACAGATAAGTAACTATTTTTTTCAAGTGCTTGTCTGTATGTGTATTCATACTACACACAATTCCATGAAGTATCCACTCATAATAGTTTGTCTTCAGTGTTCCTAATAAAGAAAAAATTGAAGAATTATCCCAAATGTAACATCATACACCTTGACAATTCTTGAAGTACAGAACACTAAAGGAAAATGCCTGTGACACTCCAGTTGACATCTCTATAAATGTCAGCTTTCGAGAACTATCAGTCACTGCTTGCACTCCAGATGAGCAGGCCCTAACTGCATTATTTGACACTCAATTACTTTGGGTAAGATTCTGTAAACAGACTGACAGCCTTTTGAGTTTTCAGCCATGGACACAAGATAGGAAAGCTGTGTCCATCTCAACAAAGGTGTCTCATCTTCAGTAAATGAAGAGGTACTTCTGTTGAAGTAGTATGAGTTTTAGGGAAGATAGGTATATTAGCTTCCCAGGAAGGCAGAATTCATTGTGAGCAAAACATTCTGGGTAAATGGTCTATATCTAAAACAAATTCATGAAGAGTAGTAGGTTCTGGAATTGCAGGCATTTTGTCAGTCTGCCCTTGAGAAGAT